TAAACCTCCTTTGCCTTCAATTTTATTTTTAATTCTGTCCCTTTTAAGTTAGCTTAAACAGAAACGGAGCACTTAATTTTTTCTTTATGGTTTAGTCTCTTCCTTATGCCTTTATTCATAGAGGTTTACCTGCAGCTATACTGTCTATTAAAATTAGAAATATTCTGAAATCACCAGAACACCAGAAATGTCTGTTGTTATAATCAAATGGTATCCGGAATTGTTTTATCTTTCCCTTGAAACACATTATTTGGGTATACTTTGCTTGATGGAAAACCATCATTCAGCCTTTTTCTTAAAGAGCTATAGCAGTATTATAAGGCTGGATTTTTTCCTGAGAAGGGAGCTAACTCAGAATATATGCACACTTAGTTCAACATGATTAGCTGATGCACACCGATTCCCCTGTTGACCAAATGGTGATTTTAGGTTGGAATTTGTATACTTTCCCTTTTTTTCCCTTAAATTCAACATGTTCAATCATAACTGTCTGAGTACAAGTTAAAGGCTTTTCCTCCCACGAGATTTAAATACATGCTACTTTGTTCTGTGCTGAAATGTGTTAACTCTCTTATTCTGGATTGTGCATTGGAAAACTCTAATAAAAACAGTATAATTTTTTTAAAGGTCTTCCATTGACAGAACATCTGCAAACTTAATGAGGCAATCCATTGAGATAAATACATCAACTAATAAATCCCCATACATGCAGCCAGTAGCATCACTGGCCAAGTACAAACCATCTGGGGAGGTTTGGAGACTTCAGTTCCTTTGGTCACAGGTTACCAGAGCACATATTTCACATAGCAGATTATTTCTTAAACAGTCTTCCTTCCTGAGAATAAGCCATTCTACTGACCACATTTAAAAACAACCTAAAGTAACCTATAATTAAAGAGGAGAATAGAAACAGAAGTGAACAGTCTAGGACAAAGTTCGTTCATTGCAAAGAACTGTGTGTTTATGTAGACACTTATTTTTCTTCCCAAGTGTCATTATCTAAATCTTAACTTGGGACACCTGGGTAGCTCAGTCAGTAGAGTGTCTGCCTTTGGCCCAGGTCATGATCCCAGGATCCTGGGATCAAGCCCCACATCAGGCTCCCTGCTCAGCGGGGAGCCTGCTTCTCCTTCTCCCTCTCCCCTTCTGCCCACCCTTCACACCTCTTGTTCTCTTTCTCTCAAACAAATCTTAAAAAAAATTTTTTTTAAATCTTAACTCTTTCATATGCCTCTCATATGTGTTTCAGTGAATAGATTATATACTCCTAAAGATTAGGAACTGCCGAGTCTACTTCTATGAATGTTTCTCCCCAACCTATAGTGTCTAGAATAGTCTTATACTATTGCAGACACACAGTGGTTGATTGAATTCTGTGCCACATCTACAAAGTATTTTTACTGAGATGTAGGAAATTAATAAAAGATTAATTGCAGATTTAGTTTAATAGTTGTAAAAATATTCATATTTTCCTTCTTGAGGCTGTTTTGGCATATTGTTTCCTTGAAACATTTTTCTATTTTGTAAATTTATAGTCATAAATGTACTGGTAAATTTATTGGCATGTTCTCTTTTATATTCCTGATACTGATTATTTGAATGTTTTAGTTTTTTAATGATTAGTCTTGCCAGAATTGTGTGAATTTTATTAGTTATCTAAGAACCAATTTTTGGAGGGGTTAATCATCTTTCTGTGTATTTTTTTCAGTATTAATCTTTTGATTTTTAGTCTCTCCCTTTTCTAATGTGTTCAAAGCTCATGTTTTCTTATATCATGGTTTAGCTTATCCCACAAGTTTTGATGTGCAGTGTTATCATTATAATTCAATTATTTTCATTATTATTCAAAATACTTTGATTTCCACTGTGATTTCTTCTTTACTCAAAAGTTGTTTAGATGTATAATCTATCAGTTTAAAATATATGGAAATTTTTTACTTAGATTTAAAACAATTTTTTTAGCTTAAATTCATTGTGATCAGAAACTGTAATTTCAATTTTTTGAAAATTTATTAAAATTTACTTCAAAGCCCAGGACATGGTTATTTTTTGTAAAAATCCCACAGTTACTTGAAAAAATTATGTAGTGGTTGGGAACAGTTTATTGTATTTGTCCATTAGGTCAATTTTACTTCTGTTATTGTTCAAATCTTGTATCTTTAAGACTTTGCTTTTTCCATAAGATAGATGGGGAGAGCATGAAAATATTCCCAGCATGACTGTAGATTTATTTCTTTTATACTTGTTTTTGTTTTATATATTGAGATTATGTTATTAACTAAATACAAACGTAATTATTGTATTTTCCTGGTAAATTGAAAGGTTTTCATTATGAAGGGCTTCTCTTTATCAAGAACATTTTTTGCCTGACATTAACTAGGCGCTCCTTTGTATTACACTTTCCTCTTGATGAATATTTGCAAATATGCCTTTTTTCTATTAATTTTGAACTTTTTATATGCTTGTTTCAGATGTATTTCTTCTAACATGTTATTGGACTCTATCTTTCCTTGAAAAAATAAGTCTATCTTTGTTTTAGAATTGAAGCATTTAAGTTATATTTAATGGAATTGCTGATATATCTGAATGTATGGCTACCATGCTATACTATTTGCTTTATATATGTATTATTTGCCAGGAATTAATTGCTTTACATTGAGAACTTCAACCATCTACATTAATATGACAGGAGTATGGGATCTAAGAACTGAGACCAATAAATAATTTCATTGTTTCAGGTACAATTAATACTCATATATTAATTTATCTCAGACAATCTGGTCATCATGGCAAAGAACTCATTATCAAGCAACAGTTTACTTATCAAGACTAGTGCCAAGACCCTTCCCTTGCAATAGATACTAATCACAAAACTATTGTCACAAACTTTTCCAAACTGCAATCTGGTGCCCACCTGAAAAGAGCCACTTTTTTAAACCACTTGATCCCAGACTTCACAATCCTATAAATCCTCTCCTGACTTTACCTTCAGAGACTGTCAAGGCGGAATCCTCTATTACTATAGAGAGTTCTAATAAACTTCATTTTGCTTTATTAACAGATTGCCAGGAGATATTTTGGGAGAGTTCAATAAGATATTTATTCCTTTAATCCGCGTAATAACCTTATAAGTTAATTCTATTCTTATGTTCTTTTTACAGATGAGAAATCGAGGCATACTGAATACTAAAGTGATTACACAAGGACACACAACAATTTAACTCACATGAATCTCAACTATGCTATTAATATTACTTCTTCCCTTGAAGTCTATCTATCTGAAGATATCATAAAGGATCCTATGGTTCTGGCCTTCTTAGCCCTATACAATAATTATAGTACTGATTACTATAATTAGTAATTTTGTTGTCTTCTTCACTAGACTGTGTGCTCTTTAAAAGGAGGAACATATCCTCTGTCTCCATGCTGCCAGTGGATAGCATAACCTCTGACACATTTGATAATCATTCAATAAATGTTTCTAAAATGAAAATTAAATGAAACCCCACTTTACCAATGAGGCGCTGAGATATTAAGAATTTAGCCTAGTTAGAATGTAACTGTCATAACTTATGCTCCTGCCAATATCCCACATTCTTTAGCTCAACTGTAAATGAGCTCTCCAAGAGCAGTTTTTATGGGACGCCTGGGTGGCTCAGCAGTTAAGTGTCTGTCTTTGGCTCAGGGCGTGATTCTGGAGTCTTGGGATCGAGTCCCACATCGGGCTCCCCTGCATGGAGCCTGTTTCTCCCTCTGCCTCTCTCTCTGTCTCTCATGAATAAATAAATAAAATCTTAAAAAAAAAAAAACAGTTTTTATGAGATGAGAGTCTACAAACATTGCAATGGGGATTTATACTGATAAAGCAATAGTCCTACCACAATGTTATATTTCTTTGCTTTTGTTGAGATATTATCATCTTGGTGTAACCTCACAGGTTATATCATGTGGATTAGCTTGAATCACACAAATTTCTAATAAAAACTATAATTTCTTTGGTACTGAAAGAGTTGGAATTCACTTCTCTATACTAAACAGAGATCTATACATATTATTTTTTTTCTTTATTATAAGGAGAAAATAGTGTTATATAAGTATTTAGACCTCAGGGAAGAAGTTCAAAATTTTACATAACTAGGAATGAGAGGTGGGGTAGCAAATGTGAGTGTGTGCATGCTCGTAAGTGTACAGATTAAACAAGATTGGTAAAATGTTGACAATTACTGAAGTCTGTAGTGAGTACATGGGGATTCATTAGACTCTACTCTTCACTTCTGAACACATTTGAAATTATCCAAATAAAAAGCTTAAAAAATGCTAATTTCCCCAACATTACACTAGCTATACAAAATACCCGATCGTTCACTGGCTGCAAACTTAGTATCACAACCCAAAGCAAAAAATTATTCTATCCTTAAAGTCCATATCTCACAAGGTGTGTATTTCTTTAAGGGCACAGACTATTTCCTCATGTAACTTACATTAAAACACATATTAATAAGCACTTTTTATGTCTGCCTGGTTCCTGGGTGTTTCTTTCCTTTAAATGTGGATTTTCCCCTCTGGAAAACATGGAAAATCCTTTCAAACTCTGGAAGAAAATGCAAATGATCTTCTGTACCAACTAATTTTACTATATGTACACCTATACCATTCCTCTGTCAATAAAAGTTTTTAAGTCAGTAAATGTCAAAAAGTGATATGTAGCAAATATCAAGGGTCTCAAATACTGAACAGGAAACAAGGGTCAGATTACAGTGTCCTATTGATATACTAACTCAGGAATATAGGTCAATCCTTTTAAAATATTTTCATGAGTTCTTATTTTATTAATGTATGCTTCAACAATGGAAAAATGGATTGTGGTATTCTGTTGTTAGCTATAATTTTATTGTTTATTTAAAATATAGAGCAACGTTTTTCAAATATTTACATAACAAATACAAATGTTTAGATGAGCCAAATTAGCAATAGGTTCCAAAAACAGATACATCTAATACCTTGCTTCAAATGAAATCATTGCTGCTTCTTCAGGGCAATAATAGCATAACATCTGGGAGATTTCACAGGATCAAACAACTTCACAAGTGCAGCCCATGCAGTATCTTCCTGCAAATTGATAAGTGATTTAAATATATAGCAATTTGTTGAAGAGAAGAATGAGATGAGTCAGACTATATATTGTAAAATAACAACAACACAAAAAATAAACAACATAAAAGAAAATTATTCTTTGTTGAATGAAATGAATACTTACAATTTCACCTACAGGAAATTACGGTTCAGAAATAAAGACACACATACATAATGAACTATAAGGTTACTCTTTGTTGTAACTGTGAAAAATGGTCAAAAACAACTGGATATTACTTAAATTATTACATGATGAAAGATTATTCAGCTTTTGTAATATATCTAATGAGATGAGAAATTCTGAATAAAATAAATGAAATTAGATGCAAAACTGTACTTCTCATTTGATTCCAATTTTAATTAAAGTAGACATAATGTACTCATACATATATGTGCAGCATACATATATTAGAGACTAGAAAATATACCAAACATTTAAAATAATGCTGAAAGATGGAATTATTATTTAAAATTTTTTATATTCTTCATTTAAAATTCTCTAAATGTTACTCTTATAAAAATATTATTTAAAATGATACTATTTAAACAATAAAGTATTAACAAACTAAAGTATTAACAAATTAATATTTGTAAGATTTCTGTCAGTTCATCACCAATCTATTAAGTAAATATCAAGGGTCTTAAATACTGAACAGGAAACAAGGGTCAGATTATAGTGTCCTATAGATACTATAGATACTCAGGAATGTAGGTCAATTTATTTATTTATATCATTTACTTATTTTATTTAGGTCAATGGAAATTGTTTTGAAAAGGGAAATAGCGAGTACCTAGTAAAACATGCCTGATTCTGTCACCTATAAACTTGGAAACCTAAGATTTCCAGTGATTCTGAGATGATTGATAGCTTAAGAAAGTACACAAGTATTCAAATATTTAAAAATTCCCGTTTTCCTTAAAAATACAAATTAGAACAAAAGCAAACTTTTATTAAAATCCACTTGTTCCAAATAGTCTGTTGAAAAGAGAAGTAAAATTACTCCCTATGATAAAACATAATTGTTAAAATAAAGGCATCATGGTAGAAACATAAGGCCTAACCCATATATGGGTTTAATTTAAACACTTCACATAACTCTTTTGACCATAGCTCAGAGTAAAATCTGCAAAAAAACATTTTCCCTAAAGATAACCAAGAAAAAAATTTTGGGGGGCAATCAACATAGATAAAAAAGACTGTGAAAAAAAACAAAAGCAATTTTCACTGATCAGTAATTTTTATACTGCAGAGTGCATATGTCCAAAATCCAACAGTGACATAAAAGGTAAATTCTTAAAAAAAAAAAAAAAAAGGTAAATTCTTATAAAATGAAACACACATATACTTTAATGTCTGGCCTCTATTAATTTTAGCTATACAATATATCATATACGACGGCTGTGTTTACTGCCTACTGTATAGTAATTACCATACAATTAAAAGAATATAAGGTTTTATTATACCAGCTTTGCTGAAAACATCTGTTGTACGTATGTTTACATTTAAAAGAAGATAGAATGAATATTTAAACTTGGTAAATGTAATAAGAAACTTATCCTAGATATAAGCAGATCCATTTACTGGATAATGAAGATACTTGTTATATATATTTTAAATAACATAATTTACCTGCTCCTTCAGGTAGCAAAGTCGATCTAGAAGAATCAATGTCTCTATACAAGGAGCCAGAACAACTTTCAACTAAAAGAAAGAATAAAATAGAATGATAGAACTTAAAAAAAAAAAAGACTAGGTTAACACTTATGTTTAAGAAAATGTATCTACAGAAATTTTTATAAGGCCAAATCTCCAGTACCAATTGTACATCTTCAGAAAATAAATAGTGCAGAGATCAAAAGTTTTTCTTTAATGATAATAGGAAAAGAATGTCCTTTGAATGACTTTGAGTTAGAATCCAAAGGCAGTCACACATATGTGATAGAGAGCTTTCAAAGGTACTAAGAGTGAAATTCATTAAAAGGAATGCTTGTGAAATAACTGCATTGAGACCAATATGTGTTCAAAGAACTCTGAAATTTCTTTCTGTACGTTTATGATACACTTTAAGAGAAATCTACCATGTGTTCTCTTTATTACATTACTGACACCTAATATAGTTTTGAAATAGGAAATGATCCAAAAGGATTTTTCTGCAGTAAGAGAAAAACAACATAGATTGGTTGGTCCCACAATAAAATTTAACAAAACCCTAGCAACATACCCAATTTAATATGTTTAATTCTGAGATTTACCATATTAAAAGCTTCCAGCTCGTTCATTCTAGGCTTATACTTCTCGTAGTAGTCCATTATAACTTTTTCTGGCAGCTTCAAGATAAAATAACAAAAAGTTTAACAACCGTTAAAAAAAAGTTTTTCCTTATCAAACATACCCTAAAGTAAAATCAATATAACAAGTTAAAACAACTTCAATGTCTGAAGAACTCTAAAGATATGCATGAAGCAAGTCAATGCAACTAAGTTCTTTTGTTAGTATCTTCTGCACCTAGTTTATTTAGCATATCATCAATAAAACCAGCAGTAGCATCTTATTAATATTGTTTGACTTCAGCAAGTAGATGAAATACCTACTTTCACTTGTTTCTATACTTGAGGTATATAGTAGGAGTTCAATTAATATTTTTTTGAGTAAAATTAAGACTTATAATCATATATCTAAAACTATATATTCTGGAGAACAATTTTCAAAAGCAACAAGAACACAATAAGGACACATGTTCATACTTAACGTAGTTTCCTCTAACATCCACTGCACAAATCCATCAGCAATCACTACTTTCTGATTTTCTCAAAAACATGGGCTGCCTATATAGTACACTGAACCTGTGTGCTTTGCAGGCCACTTTTTAGAACACATATGCTTCTGTTCACACCAGCTAACTTTATGTTTGCTGAGTCAACTGTATTTGTTTCTCAGCTTGCTATGGCAGTTACATCATTGTAATGATATAAATAAATATTACACAACTAATGAAATATTAATGCAAAAGAAGAAGTTGTTTCTGTAAAACGGATGCCTTTGTGAAAGGCCTGATAAAGGAAAGCCATCAGAAGAAATAGCTATCAAATTACATGTGGTCAAAACCAATGGAAGACTGGATAAAAAGAGTAAAAAAAAAAAAAACAGCTGAAAGTATTTATATTCAGATTTTTTTTGCAAATGTCTAAATTAATTTATTATTTTTTCAAAGCCCTTATTCTTTTTTATACTGCACAAAATTTCTTTTGAATTTAAAAAGTACAAAGAGGTAACAGTGAAAAAGTAAGGCTTTTGTCTCATTCAACTTCTAGTGAAGCCTTCCTGAAAAGATTTCCCCCCGGTACAGAACGCAAGCCGACTATACCTCCTTTCCCAATCCTTTTTAAAATTCTGCCCATCTTTGAATCAAATGAGTACCTCCTGACACAATTTTTTGCAGTAGCGTATACTGGATTGGATGCAGGCCTGAACCTCAAGCCAGCAAAAATTCTCATCTTACAAAATTGTGTGTGTTTGAATCATAGCCTTTATTTAGTCTTTACTTCTTCTCCTGCCATCTGAGAAGAATACAACTCAGAATTCATAATCTTTTTTCAATCCTACTTTACCAGTACACTGCTTCCTATAAAACATGGTTTTTCAGTTTGATTCCAGGGGTTCTCCAATATTTTGTTTCTTTTATGCCAATCTGAGAAACATTACCCTGGTCATCAGTTGCATTTGTTCCAAACTAGGAATGGTAGATTTGGCTCCTCATGATATTCCACCTTAGAGAACTGTGTTCTGTTGGTTTTGTTGGTGATCTGTAACCCTGGGAATTTTCTCTTGGTATCTTTCTGCATCCATCTTTACCTTCATCCTGCTTCATAATATATATGGTTTGGGATTTAACACGTTTTCCAATTTTGTCAAAGAAGGAGTTTGTGTTTTGGTTTCTTATTTATTTATTTATTCATTCATTCATTCATTCATTCATTCATTCATTCATGTATTTATTTATGATAGAGAGAGAGAGAGAGAGAGAGAGAGAGAGAGAGGCAGAAACCCAGGAGGAGGGAGAAGCAGGCTCCATGCCGGGAGCCCGACGGAGGACTCGATCCCGGACTCCAGGATTGCGCCCTGGGCCAAAGGCAGGTGCCAAACTGCTGAGCCACCCAGGGATCCCCAGTGTTTTGGTTTCTATTTGTTACTTTTCTGTGATCCTAAAGAAAAAAGGTAAGAACATCATCTTAACTCTTCCATTTAAAAAATAATGGAAGTCTGTTGTTTAAGTGAATCAAAGCTGGATACTACAGACTGGGTTAGAAGTATGCCTGATGCAAAAAATTAAGAGAACTCCAAAGAGTGACACTACGATGCAAAGCTGTGTGCAAAAGACCACCACAACAAATGGCCTTGTATTTACACCAAAAGTCTGGTGAGTACAAGTATACTAATATGTTTTTAAGTGAAAAATTCAATGTTTAAGATATGATTACATTTTAATCAATTTTTAAATACGATTTATATATTTATTTGAGAGACAGTGAGAGCGAAAGAGATCAAATAGGGAGAAGAAGAAGCCGCTGAGCAGAGAGCCCACTGTGGGGCTCGATCCCAGGACCCTGAGATCATGAACTAAGCTGAAACAGGATATTTAACCAACTGAACCACCCAGGTGCCTCTTACTCAGTTTTTGCAATGAAACACTCAACTACTAGCTTCACTGCTTCAGATCACAGAGATTATGTGGAAAATTCAAAAAGACATTATCTCATTTAATCCTAACAGCAATCTGTAACATACATATATTCACAGTCTCATTTTATAGATGACATTATTGAACGTTAAAGTCAGGGAGCACATAGGCAGAACCAATATCCTATAGATAAGGGAAGGCATCAGAATTGAGTCAATGCCTGGTGTAGATCACACTCAGGCAAGAACGTGCATAGAAACTTATAAATTGAATTGCACATTGAATGGCAGTTGAGAGTACTGATAATGAACTCCATTTCTCCCTGCTCCAGAAAAAGAGACTAATATGAGTTAAGTTGTGTAACAGAGCCCTAGCTCAGAGGGCTGTGTTTTGGGCTCATGGAGATATCCAATCCTAAATGGAATCTGGGGTGAGAGGCAGTAAACAAGCAGTCTCATGTTCATGTTCAGGTGCTTCAGTTTTTTTCTCCACTTTTTTGTAATTTTTTGACAGATATTTTAACTCCAATATAACTTGTGTGTTAGACAATGTATGTCTTACTATGCAACACATTTCATATGCTTGATCAACTTCATCCTGTCTGCAAAAGTTTCAAGAGTCAAAGTTCTGAATACAAGCATCTCACTGTTAATGCTTCAGTAAGATTCATCGTTCCTTGAATTTCTTCTGCCTTTATTTCAAACCTCAATTCTTCAGTTTCCTTTAGAAGTACATTTATTTTGTTTCTTGGCAAGCATGGATTTTCTCCTTATTCTTCCTTATTTGCCTGATGACTGCTAGTTTTGGAAAAATGCTAAATAAGCATTCTTCTTGTGCTCAATGTCTGCTAATAGGTTATATAAATATGACAAAAAGAAGCATGTAGTCTAGAGTTAGTCTGGATTGGAATTCCTCCTCCACAATTTCCTAGATTTTGGCCCTAAGAAATCCACTTAACCCATGTTTCAATTTCCTTGCCCATAAAATGAGTTTAACAGTACTCATTTCATAAGATTATCCTTAGTATTAAGTAAGATGATATAAACAAGCTTTTGGCAAAGTCGGCCACAAAGCATTGGTTCTATCAACAGTATCATTTCTTATATTGGTTCTTTTTTTTTTTTTGAAATAAACATATTTTAAAAGTTTTAGATTTATGGAAATTTTAAGATAACATTGAGAGGTCCCATATACCCTATACCAAATTTCTCCTATTATTAACACCTTACAATGTGGTTATTTGTTATAATTAATGAAGTCAATATTGATACACTATTGTTAGCTCAAGTCTGTATTTTATTCAGAATTCATTAGTTTTTACCTAATGTCTTTTTAGTTCCACAATTCTATCCAGGATATCACATCATTTAGTCCTACTGGTTGTAACAGTTTCTGACTGTCCTGTTTTTAATGACCTTGAGAGTTTTAAGGAATACCTGTCAGACATTTTGTAGAATATTCCTTCACTTGGATTTGCAGATGTTTTCCTCATAAATACTCTGAGGCAAAGCGTTTTTGAGAGGAAGACCACAGAAATAGAGTGCCATGTTCTTGACCTATCAGGGGTATCTGTTAATATAACTTATCATTGATGTTGACATTGACTAGCTGGCTAAGATGGTGTTTGTCAAGTTTTTACCTCTAAAGTTCTTTTTTCCACTTTTCATACTGTACAGTTTGTAAAGAAGTCACTACATACAGCCTACATTTAGGGAGTGAGGAGTTATACTTCACCTCCTTGAGGGTGGAGTATCTAAATAGATTATCTGAAATTCCTCTCCATGGGAGATTTCTCCCTCCCTTCCTTTGTTGAAGTTGTCTTTTTAAAGATCTATATAAGGGGCCCCAGGTAACAAACCTGGGACGGTACTGCAATTTCATAGAAAGTAAGCTGGATGAGAGATACATAGTTGTTTAGAGATCCTCCCACATCATACACGATCAAAGATGCGTTGGTAATTGACTCAGTTCTCACCATTAAATGATGAGCCTGAGGCTGCTGACATACCCCTGACTGGTCATAATTGGCTTAAGAGCTAACGTAGGAGGATGTAGAGATGAGGCCTATTAGCTGATCTACATGAGGAGCTGGGAAGACAAAGCCCGTGACAATGAGGCTTATAATCTAATAGTCTTAGATTAACAAAGAAAGTCAACCATACTATTACTCAAAAGATTATTGTCACTGTGAATCTTCTGGAGTATATAATACAAAGGTGACTTAGTTTGATTCTTACTTTTATAAATGATATAATTATGTAAGTAACTAATATTCACAAGCTTAAAATTTATGGACAATAAAAGAAATTTTCATAAAAATAAGGCAAAATGTAGTACATAAAGTTCTTTCCATATTGCCTAATATATACATGTTCAATAACTAGATTTTACATATGAATTAAGTTCAGCTCAGTTATTCTAAAAATTATTGATATATTATGTAATTATTATATATTCTTTCATTTGAATTAAGTCATTTGTACATTTTATACATGTCAATAATTCTAATAATCTAAAATAACCTAACATTAAAACCAATGTTTCCTTCTATATTAAAAGCAGCATTAAGAACTAAGAGAATTAAGTAGCTCTTTTTCTTCCATAAACAAACAAACAAACAGCATAATATATTTTCCTATTCTTTCAGTG